GATTTGAAGGTTGAAGATGAAGAAGGGGCTACTGAAACTGAGGTTAAAGTTCCCGGTGAAGAATCTGTTAAGGATGAAAATGAAGAATCTGTTGAAGATGTAGTGTTTGTTAAGGGTGAAGAAAGGCTACATTGATTTGAATCACCCGGTGAATGGGAGGACTACCCTAGGATTTTTGGTGTAGATGGTCCTGATATTCAGTATACGGGTGGGCAAGATGAAAGTTTTCCATATGTATATTTTACACCTAGCTATGGATTTGCACAGTCTCCATACAATCCTTATATTCCAGGTGCTATGATGGGAGTTGATGGGTCATTTGGAGGAGCACAACAGTATTACTCCATCCCCAATTACCAAAACCCTATTTCTGCGCCAGCTTATTTTCCTGAGGTTCAATCAGAACATTTTCATGACAGTTCTGTTGATCCATTATTTGACAACAGTGCTTTTGTCAATAGACCTGATGGAAGAGGTACGAACCATAAGTTCAATTCAGCCTCTGCTACTTTTACTATGAACTCTTCAAAACCATTATCAAGTCAGACAAGTTCCTTAGTCTGGGAACCTGAGGGGCCAAGAGCTGATGCTTTGGCAAAGAAGGATTTGACAAATGGAAGCGGCCCTAACAGTGGTTTTCCTAATTTTGCTTCATCACCTTATCATCAGGCTAGAAGTGCAGATGTCTCATTCCAGCCTAAAGATACTTTTTCCAATGGAAATGTTTTGTCCCATCGTAATCAATTGAATGTAGCTGCCCCAATCAGTAATGGGTTTTCTGACTATGGATTGAATGCTTCTGGACAGTCAGCAATTGCTAAATTTCGGCCAAAGGTTCATGCTGCTAAAGTTCCGGGTGATTTAAATAGGGGCGGTGATGTATTATTGGGTGAGCTAAATCGGGGCCCTAGAACTAGTAGGCCGAAACATCATATGGCTGTCAAAGCCTATACAGCCAAGGCAGGAGATGCCAACACTCAAGAGAACATTATTTATATTGATCAATATAACAGGGAGGACTTCCCTATTGACAATGAAATTGCGAAGTTTTTTGTTATAAAATCATACAGTAAGGATGACGTTCACAAAAGCATTAAATATAATGTGTAGTCATCAATTTCCCATGGAAACAAGAAACTGCAGAGTGCCTTTGAAGACTCTAGGAGAAAAGCTATTGGAAAATCTGGAGGTTGTCCTATCTTTCTTTTCTTTTCAGTTAATGCTAGTGGTCAATTTTGTGGAGTTGTTAAGATGGTTGGTCCTGTTGACTTTGATAAGGATGTGGACTTCTGGCAGCAAGATAAATGGAGTGGGAGCTTTCCTATAAAGTGGCACATCATAAAAGATGTGCCAAATACCAATTTTAGGCACATTTTACTAGAGAACAACGAGTTCAAGCCTGTAACTAATAGCAGAGACACACAAGAGATAATGTATAGGAAGGGTCTGGAAATTCTGAAGATATTCAAAAATTATACTTTGAAGACATCTTTGCTTGATGACTTTATGTAATATGAAAACCGACAGAAGGTCATGCAGGAGGAGGAAGCTAAATTTCTAAGCAAGAATTTTGGAAGTCCATCATCAATATCAGTGTTGGAGCCGCCTCGAAAGCTGACTTATGCTTTTGAAATTCCTCCTGTCAGTGATGAGAAAAATTCAAAGATGGACAATCTCGATATCTTAAAACATACTTCAATTTCAAGTGTTGGAGCTACTGTTAATAGTTCCGATGCCACCAGCAATGCATATGCGGATGAAAAGGCCGAGACAGGTGAAGTTGATAGCCAATATATTTCTTCTGTCCTGAAGATTGGTTCTGTCACTATTACCCCCAAACAGGTACTGATTGATGTTGTCACAGTAGGCTCAAGCAGCTTCACTACTGTTGCGGCCAAAAAAAGAGTAAGTTTTGGTATTATTTTAGAACCTTGAGGACAAGGTTCAAGTGAACCCGGCGGCAATGATAGAAGGGTAAAATATAATTTAGAATTTATATTATTAGTTATTAGTATTGTTATTGGGCTATTGTTGTAATTGGGCTCTTAACTTATTATCCATTAGGAACATTATATATGTATTGTCTTTGACACACTTTAGGGTATCAAATGAAAAATCAAGTATTATCTTTATTATCCTTTAGTTTTATCTCTCTTAGTTTTATTTATCTTCTTCAAAGTGTAGAGTTTTCTGTTTTTATTAGTCTTGTTAGGGTTCTAACCTAGTTTCCTATCATAAATCACATGTACGAGGAACGTAGACTGCTTGTTGCTCAATCATGTGGAGAGCTAGCAGAATTTGTACGCCTTGAGATTCGCGATTCTCTTATTTTATCAATTGTGCAACAACTAATAGAAGTTTCTGCCACTATTGTTCGAGAGGTCGCAGCTCATAATTTGGCTAAGCTGCTTCCGCTTTTCCCAAACACAGATATATATTTCAAGGTTAGCTTCACTATATATGCTTCGAGGCAATCATGGAGAAGATTTCTGACTTGAGAGAATTGGCTGCAATGTAAGCTCAGAGACAGGTTGACGGGACGGTGTAGGGAATGGAGCTTTATACCCTTACCATAAAATTAAGACACTTTCTTTTTCTTTTAAAAAAAGAATAAAGATAAAGAGTTTCTCCAATTCTTTGTTTTATTTTTTGTTAGGTTGAGGAGTTGATGTTCCAATTGATATGTGATCCCACAGGAGTGGTGGTGGAAACTACACTCAAAGAGATGGTTCCTGCAGTTGTAAAGTGGGGAAACAAATTAGACCATGTTTTGGGGGGTTTTACTCTCTCATATTTTCAGCTCTGCTCAGGTATTGGTTTTCCTTTATGCCTTCAATGTTCCTTTGTGATCCATAACTTCATCCTTGGCACTTATTTCTGAGTAAAATTTTGTTCCTGGAATTGCAGCACTGTCCACCGCTTTCTGTAGTTGAAGGGTGTATAGAGTCATATCTACATGTGTTGCGGGAAAGAGAGCGTTGGAATATAGATGTTCTATTGACAATGCTGACAGATTTGCTTTCTTTCGTATACCAGAAAGCAATTGAAACATGCCCCTTCTTGTCCAGCATAGAAACTACACAATTTGTGCTATCTACTACATTGCTTGAATTATATGCAAGGTAAGCTTGACTTAAACTATTCAATTTGCACTATTATGTAGAAACTATAGGAAATGAAAGAATTGATTGAACTGATCCCGGGCTCTCGAATGTTGTATTTTTCCCTTCAACGCATTAGTTACTGGTTGGAATATTGTGTAAAAAGGGTGAAGTGAATGGACGGATAGGTGGTATATTTTCAAAATTGGTTGAGTTCCTTTTGCCAATTTTTCTCATGAGCTCTATTTGTAATGCAGCATATATGAAGAAAACCAGGGTATGATATTTGAAATACTGTGGGAAATGGTTGTTAGCTCTAACATAAACATGAAAGTAACCGCTGCCAAACTTCTAAAAGTTCTTGTAAGCTTACTACTTTCTTAGTTTCTATTTAAATCTCATATTAATGGCAGCACTAACTTAGATTACTTCATTATTAGGTTCCACATATTGACGCAAAGGTTGTCTCTACTCATGCTTTGCCTGCATTAGTTACTCTCGGATCTGAACAAGACCTTGATGTGAAGTGTGCTAGCATTTGATGCATTTTGTTGGTTCAAAGTTAATGATGACTAAACGTTTAAAATCCCGACTAAGAATATGATATCTTGCAGATAGTTGAAAAGATACGTGTTCAAATGGGTGCTTTTATTGAAGATGGATCCCATGAAGCTATTATTGTTGTCACTCACGCGTTGGTAGTTGCAGTACCTCGTACAACAGAACAACTTAGAGATTATATCCTTAACTTTATTTGTTTGAAAATAATATTAAGAAGTGCGTTTTTTAATTTCCACTGTTAGTTTCTTAACCTTGATGCACATCTTTTGTCCAAGATTGCTCAACTTACAACCTTGCCAGTTACTACTTCAACTAATTTGACGCGCCGGCAAGAAAGAGCCAATGTATTTTGCGAGGAAATCCGTGTTCTGGATGCTACAGGTTTGCTCCATGACATTTATAAATCTTTCTTATTGATCATTGTCAAGGTATTTTCTGGTATTCTTGCCATGGTGTAACAATAATATTAGTAATATATCTCACATGGCCTTGCCAGAGTTGCTCTGAAAACCTAACTCTTGTCATTGTATGTACCATCAATGCAAAAATACTTCAATTTTATGCCCTATCTGGTAATAACAGTCCTGAATTGTAACATTACTCAGAAAAATAGCAAATTGCTTTTATTTTTCAAGGATCGGAAACATGATTTTTCTGATCTTTAGCTTCTCTTTCTTACAGCAAGCATGATTTATTACTGTTCATCATACAGATCTTTCTGCAAACAGTGTCAAAGACCACCTCCTGCCTGCAATACAAAACTTTTTTAAATACTTGGACGCACTGGATCCAGCGCATAAAGAAGCCCTTCACATTATTATGAAGGAAAGATCAGGGATAAGTTATAGTAGTATAAGTAATAAGGTGGTGAGTACTCATGTTGGTTTGGCATCATCAATGAGCAGCTTCTTTGGTGATGGTGGCTTGCTTGGAAAGAGAGACAGTACAAAAGTGCTATCAGAAAAGTCTACTTCTCCCAGGAGTGCTGCGTCACCACCACCACGGGCGGATGACACTAGATTTAGGCGCATCATGCTGGGACATTTCAGCGACATCCTTCGTGGCAAGGGAAGATCATCAGAGGAAAATCATAACTAATTACAAGCATTTTGGCCTTGTAATTACACCCAAAATGTACATGTTTTTTTTACTAAAATAGTATGATATAAATGATAGATATTTAGATTAGGGATTCAATCCCATCCAGTTCTAATAGAAAAATATTGAGACCAACCTACCGAGATATCTTGATTTTGGAAAAAATGTGAATTTTGTTTGTCAAACACATGTCTTATTTTATGTACAGCTTCAAGTTCTGGTAAACTGTACACATTAAGAATGACTCCAGTGAAATTTTTAGTAATTGATGAAGCTGCACAACTAAAAGAATGTGAATCTACGATTCCGTTGCAGCTTCCTGGTCTTAGCCATTGCATTCTTATAGGTGATGAGAGACAGCTTCCTGCATTGGTCAAAAGCAAGGTACTTAATAGTTTCTTAAACTTTTGCATTAATAAAAGATTATTCTGTGATATTTTGAAAATGTAATATTTGTAGATAGATAACAAGTGTGAATTCGGAAGAAGTATGTTTGAGAGGCTTGTAAGATTGGGATACAAAAGGAAAATGCTTAATATTCAGTATAGAATGCATCCATCTATCAGCTTATTCCCATGCAAGGAGTTTTACGATGAAAAACTTTCTAATGCGGGCGTTGTCAGGCTTCCGTGGAAGTTAAAGGTTTGGAACCAGTCTTGGACACGAGAGAGGATAGAACAGATGAGGATAATGTCCCGAAACATGCTGAAAACGAGGGTGACATTAAGCCATCAATAGATGATGATGTGCAGTTGAATTTAGCAAAGGGTTGTGAGGAGTTGAAATCAAAGCATTATGAATGTAAGTTTTCTAGTCCATGTGGCTGTCATACTTAAAACGTGATTTTCTCAAATTGTTGGTTAGTAGTATGAACTTTATTAGGCTACTATCTAGAATGGAAATTGATGGAGAACATGAATTAACACGCGTAATTTCAAGCTATCTAATATCTATTAACTCTGCATTTTACTAATATGTGAATAAACAGGGCTAGGATCATATCATGATGCCATATTGTTTAGTTCCTTTTGAGCTAAAAAATAGAGAACGCAAGGTTAATGATTGAAAACTTTTTTATGTTAGTGTTTATTGTGTGAATATCATAAATATTGATGATTGCCATTAATGTAACCTACTATAGTTGTATTATGAATCCTAAACTGAGTGCAGATTTTTTTTTTTAAAAAATATTTGCAACTTGCGACGGTTCAAACCGCCACAATATATTATTAAAAAAGAATATTCGCAATTTGCGGCGGTTCAAACCGCCACAATATACCATAGTTTGTTTTTAAAAAAAATTTGCAAATTGTGGCGGTTCAAATCGCCACAATATACTTTCGCAATAAAAAAAAATCATTAAGCAAGTTAAGACGGTTGACAACCGTCACAATATAGAGATTACAAGAGTTAGCTACCCTTCGTGAGAATAACAACGGTTTGTACGACAGTTTTTACAACTGTCGCAATACGGCCTCGCGACACACGTTTCTGCGACGGTGTTGAAACCGTCGTAACTTACAAATTGCGACGGTTAAAACCGTCGTAATCTATCAAAATGAACCGTCGCAATTTGCCAATTCTCTTGTAGTGCAGTCTCTAAGGAAGAGCTGTTTATCCTGTACTGTGCATCACAAGGTCGTCCCGTCAATGTCGTACCGTTTATGATGAGAACCTTTGAAAAGCTTACTTGCCAAAAACTTGATCACGACTTTCTGAGTCTAACCGAACTTACTGCAAGTGTACAGTCTATCGCGTAGTAATAAAAGATATTGATCACACAAGGAGTCGTAATCAAACTAGTGTTCTCGGGCGTTACTATGTTTAGCTAGGTTGGATATGGTTTAAGGGAAAGGATGCAAAAGTAAAGGCTAAATTAAAGAAAGGCAAAAAGGTTTCTTAGAATATAAATACGGGAAATCGGTATGCAATGCCTTAGTTCTTCGAGGATTCGACAAGTCACCGGCGTGGTTTAATAAATTCAAAATAGTTTTCAGAAGAAAATAACGGTTTAAAGACTTTTGTCTCACGTTGGTTGTTGACGCTAGTCGCAAATCTAAGGCGGAACATATGCTTTCGCTATCCCGTTCGGGGTTAAAATTGCTTTTTGAAAACCATTGAGTTCTAATCTCTTTTAAAGCACTCCGGTGACTTGTCGAATCCTCATCTCAGCTAGAGCCTCATAGTAGCATTGCTTCCCCCGCTATCAATCGGAATGATTTCGAACTAAGACCATCATTGCTGTCAGCTGTACAACAACATCAATTCTCAAGAAATGCAACCGAGGATCCGAACGAACATTTAACGAAGTTTGTGCAATACGCAGACACAGTGAAGGCAAATGGAGTAACTCCAGATGCAATAAGACTTCATCTTTTTCTTTTTTCGCTTAGAGATAGAGCTTGGGCTTGGTTACAATCCTTACCATCCAACTCCGTTACGACGTGGGAACAGTTGAAGAACGTCTTCTTAGCGAGATATTTTTCGCCAAGCAAACCTGCTATGCTAAGAGCTCAAATTAACGGATTTCGACAAAAAGATACCGAATCTTTCTACGAAGCATGGGAAAGATTCAAAGATATGATGAGAGCATGTCCTCACCACGGTTTAGAAAACTGGGTGACTATTCATACCTTCTACAATGGGCTTCTGTATAACACCAGATTAACAGTAGACGCCGCCGCGGGCGGTGCACTTATGGATAAGCCATACGATGAAGGCTATCAACTTATCGAAAACATGTCTCAGAACCATTGCCAATGGGGAGGTGAAAGAACTCCGTCAGAGAAACCCGCAGCAAAAGGTGGGATGTACGAGATCAACAGTCTTGAAAAATTCAACACTAAGGTAGATGCCTTGACGCAGAAGATTGACAGTTTAACTATAACGCCACCTGCAACCGTAGCTGCTGTAGCTCCAAACTGTGAGTTATGTGGAATCGCCACTCATAATGCGCCCGAATGCCCATTATTGGCAGGAATTCCACCAGACCAAGTAAACTACGCTCAAGGTAACCCTTACGCGAACACCTACAACCCAGGCTGGAGAAACCACCCAAACTTTTTCTACAAAAGCGATAACGCATTGCAAGCACCTGCTGCTCCACCAGGATATCAAAAACCAGTCGTAGCTGCTCCGAATGCCCCTAGAAAATCAAATCTTGAATTGATGATGGAAAAATTCGTAGCTACTCAAGCTCAAACGAACAAAGAATTCCTGAATCAAAACATACATACTAGCGAGCAGATTAAACAGCTAACCAGCAAAGTAGACGCTTTAGCCACCCACCACAAAATGCTTGAAACACAGATATCACAAGTGGCTCAACAACAAGCATCTGTAGCCGCACCCGCTGGTACATTTCTTGGGCAGGCAGAACCTAATCCGAAAGGTCATGCAAACGCTGCCATATTAAGAAGTGGAAAAGAACTGGACGGACCGACCATTCCTAGGAGTGAAAACTCAGCCATGCATCAGAAAACTGATAAACAAGCAGAAAAGGAGTCTGAAACCGAAGAGAAGGAAGATAACAGAAGGAGGCCGCCAAAAATGAAAACCTGTATGTACCTCCACCGCCGTATAAGCCGCCAATTCCTTATCCTCAAAGATTCATAAATTCTAAAACTACAGGACAATTTAAGAAATTCGTAGAACTTCTGAAGCAACTGAATATCACCATTCATTTCATAGAAGCTATCACTCAAATGCCCTCATACGCTAAATTTCTCAAAGAAATCCTGTCTAACAAAAGAAAAATCGAGGATAATGAAACAGTTACACTTACTGCCGAGTGTAGCGCGATCATTCAAAATAACATGCCTCCTAAACTAAAAGACCCAGGTAGCTTCTCCATACCTTGTGTCATAGAAAAGTTCGTCATAGACAAAGCTCTATGCGATTTAGGAGCCACTATAAGTGTTATGCCCCTATCTATATGCAAAAAGCTAAATATGGCTGACCGATCAGTCAAGTATCCCGTCGGTATACTGGAAAATGTTCCAGTACGCATAAGTCAATTCTACATCCCAACCGACTTTATAATCATGGATATTAAGGAAGACTCTGTTACCCCGATTATCTTAGGAAGACCTTTCCTAGCAACAGCGGGAGCTATTATAGACGTGAAGAAGGGTAGGCTAACATTCGAAGTAGGAAAAGAAAAGATAGAATTCATCCTCACCAAGTTCTTAAAAGCACCAACCATAGACGACACATGCTATTTAGTAAATGTCATTGACGAATGCATAAGAGAACTGGAGAAGGAAGAAACTAAATACTCTGAAATCATGAAAATCCAAATCTCTGAAATTCATGAAGACGACAATTGGCGTGCGCCATACAAAGATGATAGCCTAAGAGAAATCTTAGCACTAACTCCTAATCACATGCCAAGTCCAAAGAACCCAGCTTTAGAGCTTAAAGAATTACCTAAGACCCTCAGGTACGAATTCTTAGATACCGAATTCAAAAGACCAGTGATAGTCAACGACGATTTAGGACAGTTAGAAACCAAGAAACTATTAGAAGTCCTAAGGAAATACCCAACTGCTTTAGGCTATAGTATAACTGACCTCAAGGGTATAAGTCCTTCCATTTGTATGCATCGAATCATGCTAGAGGAAGACTGCAAAACTTCTAGAGAACATCAGAGAAGGATAAATCCTATCCTAAACACTGTAGTCAAAGACGAAGTGAAGAAGTTACTAGATGCAGGAATCATATGTAAGAACACATATTGTTTCTTAGTTATATCTCTATATTTTGATGATAACACGAATGAATTTTGTATTCAAGAATTATATACTCTAAATTTGTTCTAGACTGTTTGCTACAGGTACTAAAGAAAATATTCTTAAAAGAGCAAATTTGGATCTGAACAATGATATTATGAAAGGCTTCAAAGGTTCAAGAGCATCTTAAATGAAGATTTGAACGCTGCTCCCAGAAGAATCTGAATGCTGTCTACTGAAGATTCTGAAGCAGGAGCCTCTAAAGAATAGAAGACTCTGAGAGATCAGAAGCTTAGTCATCAGAAGACTCTGAAGACACTGCGCTGCTTAAGTATTGAGAATCTGATATAGAAGACTCTGCTCTGATAGATTTACACGCTCAAGCACACAAGCTGCACATACTCTGATTCAGCTCAATCTGAAGAACATCCAAGAATCTGAAGATCCAGAAGATCTTTACTCTGGAGATTCTGAAGATTCAGACTCTAATGTTGAAAGCTGAACTTATTTAGTGAAGAAGATTTAAATATGTACGTTGGCATATCTCAACAGCTCTTTCCTCTTCTGTGCTAGACACAAGAACACAGACAAAAAGGTTTTATCTGTGCATTCCATTCTAAGGAAAGTTTCTGCAAAGTGAAGACAAAAGGCATCAGGCTTTTTCAGCACAGCCTCCAATGTAAAGACAAAAGGCTCCAGGCTTTTCAGCACAGCCTTCAACGTTGAGAAGACTTCATGGATCTAAGTGCCTATATAAAGAAGTCCACTCCATCTTCTTCAGTAACAAATTACTTGCAAAAATCACTCATCAAAGCAAAACTCTCAAAGCTCTTATTATTTTATTTTGCTATAACATTGTTCTTAACTTAAGAGAAATATCACAGTTGTGATAACAGCTTCTTAGAAGCATTCTTACTCTTGTAATTGTTTTACGTTGTTTGTAAAAGGTTTTCCTTAAGAGGATCCAGTTGGGATCAGTAGCTCTTGAGAAGACTAAGAACAGTTGTT